GATACAGTATGGCAGTTGTGCCGCTAGTAGCACGGTTACGTAACTAAATGTTTTTGTTACATGAAGTCACTCTGTCTGGTTTGAAGAACATGTTTTTATAACTTTACCATTTGGTAGATGGGCAGTTGGTAGTCTTACACCACTAGTTTGTCAGCTGTTTATTTCCTGTTTAAACTCTGCATGAGAAATAGGTAAACTTGTAGAATTTTGAAACATTCTTGTTAAAGGTGTATATCTCAGAAAGGGTCCATGTGTTAGTTTGTATTGTCTGTTTCTTTGCCGATCTACCTGCAATAGTATCCAAGTTTGTTCTGATCAGGGTTTTTGATATGTAATTGCTTTTATGTAGCAAAGCAAAAACAAAAAAAAACCCAAAGAAAGAAATTAAACTATATTTTCAGACCTAGCAACCATTTATATGAGCTGTTGTGGTGGTTCAGGGGTCTGGATAATATGCCAGCAGAAATCTTATCGGATGTAGGTAAAACTGTCTTTTATGATTGAGCTTTCCTGGAACTTGTTTCCTTTTCCTTGACCATGGCAGCCAAAATGACATAACATGGCAGGTCAAGATGGAAGCTCAGAATTTCCCTTTTTTCCTGTTCTAGGCTGCTATTTTCACATGTTTTGCTACGTAGCATGAAATTGGATTTTGATGGGCCTGAACGACTTTGCCTCGTATAAATTAGTATTTATTTTTCTTTATTTACTTCTTTTATAGTCTTTCTTTCTGGCTGTGGCTCAAGGCGTAGTCCAACTAGAAACAATATAGTAAGAAAAGTATAGTAAATACAACAAGTATAATAGTAAATAAACACAAAAGTATATTAAATACAATATAGTAAGAAAAGCATAGTCAGCATAATTGGAAATCTTGATTGCCATCTGATTTAATTTGACTGAAATTTGACTGTAATTTTAAATGTTTTAACTGATATGATATGTTGTGTTATCCACTGTTGTTCTCTGCCCTGAGCCATGTTTACAAGGAATGGGCAGTATAAAAATCAAATTTAATAATAAATAAAGATACAAAAGTATAGTAAATATAACCATCATTCTAAATAAACTTAGAATGATGCACTGAAAACTGCAGTGCACTACAGACAAAGCCCAATTACAAGAATGGGGAATAGTTCCATGAAACATTATATTGCACACAATGGAAAGACTAGGGTGTAAAATTAGAGAACAGTGCAATAAAAACGGTAAAATATACAGTGAAGACTGCCTTTAATTCCAAAGAAATTAACCTTTTTTAGTTTATAAAAATGCCCTCCCGTTCTTGATAGCATGTTTAGGTATATTACTTTATTGTGGTAGGTATGTTAGCCAGCCTTGCAACTGCATTGTTCCCTCCATTGGAAACAATGGAGGATGGGTGCACCCCTTCTGGGCCCCGTAGAATTGGACCCTGTGGTCCAATCTTTGTGAAACTTTGTGGGTGTGTGTGTTTGAGGAAAGTGGTTAAGATGCTGAACTGCAGACCGTAAGGTCGGTAGTTCAGCGGTTTGAGACCCGAGTGCCGCATGACGGAGTGATCTTCCATCTCTGGTCCCAGCTCCTGCCAACCTAGCAGTTCGAAAGCAAGAAATTGCAAGTAGATAAATAGGTACCACTTTGGTGGGAAGGTAACAGCATTCCGTGCTTCTCGGCGTCTAGTCATGCCGGCCACATGACCACGGAAACGTCTTCAGACAGTGCTGGCTCTTCCGCTTGGAAATGGAGATGAGCACCGCATTCCTAGAGTTGGATTTGACTGACTTTCGAGCAAGGGAAAGCGTTACCTTTACCTGAGGAAAGGCACCAGCAGCCATGCTGCAAATCTGGTGCCTTTACTGCAAAAATGGCCTCCCCCAGAACCCCAGATGCCCCCAGATTGATTCTTCATTATAACCTATGGGGGCTATTGACTGCAGTGGTCCCCAATGCAAGTAAGTATCCCCAGATCACCAAACTTTCTACCAGCACACATAGATTTTAAAAAATTCAAACTCTAAAACACTATGGCTTTAAAAACAGCAGCCATTTGAGGATATATATATATATATATA